AGTACATCAGCAAAACATGTCAAAACCTAAATTAAAAGTTTTCACTCACTTTTTTTTAAGAAAATAAATCCTTTTGTTGGCAGTTTCCCACTGATGACATGCAACAATCTTTGCATATGAAATCGGCTAGTCCCCTGCTTCACTGCTAACTTTGTAGAAGTTCCAAAGCATTTCTGGAGCAAATGATCTATTTGGACTAACAATGCCAAGCTGGGACCTGAGCCCTGAATGAGCTAAAATTACCAAAGCAATAAGAACATGGCTTTGGAAGCTATTTCCCCCAAGTGTGGGGTTTCTTCTAGCTAGTTGAGGGAGTGATAAAGAATGCTGACTTTTTCCAGATGAACAAAGTTGAATGAAAACTTAAAATCCCACTGCAGGTTTCTATTCTGAAAAACAAGTTGCTGCTGCAGAGGTTCCTATCTCCGCTATTTCCCTCTCCTCAAGCACAAAAATGCACCTGTCTTCCCAAAGTTCATGAGTTCAACATGGGCACACCAGTGTAGACTATGTGCTGGGCACTGAGGATGTAGGCACAAGGAAGCCAGGCCCCTGTCCTAGAGGAGCTCCCTGTCAGGCAGGAAGAGAGGCACATTCATGACTAATGAAAACATGACATAAAATGCTACAATCCATAAGCAAGGCAAAAGCAAAGTGAAAAGAGTTCTGAGGAGGGGGAGAGTCTCTCTTGGGGGCAGAGGGAGGAATAGGGAATGCCATTGAAGCAAGGTGCTCCCAATGTACTTTGTCTATTCCTTTATCACAGGCGGAGGGGGCTGGACCACAAACTTCTGTCACATGTCTACCTTGCCCACCTGAAGGTGAGCTCCTGGTGGGCAGAGGCCCCATATCAGACAATGATTAATCCATCCTGGCTGGCTCAAAGGAGTGCAAGAGAGTGTGTTCACAGAAGAGTTAGAAATACCAAAGGTCTCAGGGAAGGGGGAAGAGAGAGTGAGGCTGGAGAAGTAAGGTGGGGCTGGAGATAGAGCTGGTCTAAGGAGGGCTATGAATGCCAGGCTAAGAAACTAAAACTTTATTCAGTAGGCAATAGGGAGATGCAGAAGGTTCTAATAAGAGCAGTCAACTAAGACTGTGTTTTAGAAGATTATTCTAAAAGCAATTGGGGAAAATAGATCAGAGACGGGGTAATCAATTAGAAGACTGCTTCACTGGTTTAGATAAGAGCTGATGCTGGCCTGAATGCAGGCAGCGATGGTGGAGCTGGAAAAGAAAAACTTAAAAGATAAACTGCCAAGCCCACCTTGAACTGGTCCATTCTCTGTGTTCCCCCAGTGTGTGGCTTCTACCTTTCTTTAGCACTTACTTTGAGGCCCCCAAATTACACACTCCCTGAGGATGATACCCATTTCCTTTCCATCACTCCCTCCCACACGGAAATCCTACATAGCAGGACAAGAAAAGTCAATGCCTGCCACCCCTGGGTCACGCTGTCATTTCAATCACAGTACCTGAGATGCAGAGGTGCATTGGTATATTCACTTAATACAGCACTGGGCCTGGCATACAGAAAGCAGTAAGGAGACATCTGACAACAAAAAAATTTAGCACACTCAAACAACAGTAACAGAGCACAGGTGCCTAGATAGAACAACTTAGAATTTTAGGGCTCTAGGCACAGAGAAACCAGTTTGAGCCTCCTAAAAAAACCCATAAAATTCAACACTGTGAGCCCAGTAGCAGGCTGAATTGCAGTTAGATGACGGTGAGCTCTCCAAATGAGTAGTTCTCACTTTCACAACCTGCTTGGCAAATAAATGAGAGTAAAGAGAGACCAGAGGTCAAAGGTGAGTCAAACTTTGAGTTATGTGGACCCTCCAAGAGGGACAGCCTTAGCGAAGATTTATTCAAGCAAATGCCAACTGAAGAGATAGGACAGCTGTGTGTGCTGTGTAAGAGGGAGGTTGGTAATACAGAAAGAGCAGAATGGGCTTGAAAACTCAGAAACTAAAATTATACTCTGGCTTGAAAACTTGCCTTGAGCTGTAAGCTTCATGGACAGTTTTTCCATTTCCTTTCACTCCTTCCAAATCATGCTGTGTAGTTGATGGGAACATCGGCTACTTTACAAAGGAGACTGCCAAGTGGGGGCCTGGCACTGGAAGACCTGTGTTCCAATTCCAGCCTTGCCATTTATTAGCTGTGTGGCTGTAGGCAAGTCTCTGAGCTTCGGTGTCCTCATCTATGAAATGGAAATACTAACCACAGCAATACCTACCAAAATGTCACTTAGAGGACTAACAGAGATAATGCATAGGCATATACCAAGACTGTCAGGAAAGAAGGGGTTTTATTTTTCCTTGAACTGGGATTGTAATTCGATAAGTAGTGGTATAAACCAACTACTATGGGAAGTAAAATGTAAAGTTCCACAGCAGTTGGCTTTGACATTTCCTGAGTATAAGAAGTATACTTCAAGACAGCTCTGGGTTGGCTTGGGCTAACACTCAGTATACCAACATACTTCTCACCAAAAGCCAGAAAGCTGTGCTGAAACTACCTTGGAAACCATTCTATTGGTGTCAGAGAGATTAATTAATTACTTAATTGCTAATCCACAAACATAAAGCCACCTCTGCTTCCCACTTGAGGGGTTTCCTCCTCACACCTGGTGCCACAGCACAGTGGTATTTACATGTAGGAGATGCCAGATGAGCTCTTTGAAGTCACTGCAAGCAATTCTCAGAGCCACCAAATTTAAGTCAAGAAGGGGCCTGAAGATACATAGGAGGTAAACGAATTCCCGAACTCACCCTGGCCCTTTGATCAGGTCTCTACCCAGGACACTGGGTACCCAGGAGACTGAAATTCAAAATGTGGTTTGGCCAACTTCAAGTTGTTGTCTTTTTTCCCCTTTCTCCTCCCAAGGAAAAAACTGAAGAGAGGTAAGGGAAGTGTTTTTCAACTCATTCAAACTGGCACACTTCTTTGAACCTAGTCTGCCAGTTTCCAAACGATGCTTGGGTTTTTTAAATAACCTCACAGATTTATCAACATTCTAACTTGGAGGATGAACAGTCTACAGGTTCAAAATTCATGGTTCTCAAACCAACAGCTACATGTATCTTGCTTCTGAGGACTTGCGTCGATTTCAAAATCAGAGCTGGTGGAAGCTGCCATCTGCCTAAGTGGCCTCTCTGCGGTGCCTGAAGAGTCAAGCACAGTTTATATGTATATTTGCTGAATGAATGAGTAGATGAATGAAACAATCTCCAAGAGGAAAACAGCCATTACACACTAAGACACTTATCACTGACTCTCTTTAACACATCACTTCTACTCTCCTAGGACTCTTCCAGATCTAGGAGTACAATAAAATCATCAAAAACCATGCATGCTTTTTCTTCTAGCAAAAGGGAAGCTAAGGTTACAACCTAGTTATAACTTCCTCAAGCCTATCGTCTTGGGAAATAAATTCCTAATCCTTTCCCTCAGGTAATTAAAGGCAAGTAAGCAAACAAAATAAAACTTAATCAGCTATGAATGGTTCCCTTTTCTAAAATCTGCTTCCCTTCCCTCAGTTTCTTTGGCCCTAGGTGTCTGGCAGCGGGTGGGCCTACACTCCTGTGTGCCAGGGCTTATCATGGAGGTGGTATGGATAGAGCCTGTCACAAAGGGTCCCAGTGCTGCTGGTCAGTTTCCAGTTCTTCCATTCTTCAACTTTTGCAAAACTATTTTCCCCAGGCAAAATGAGGTGGTGGAAAGGAACCAGTCATGAGTCGTGAGACTGAGCTAACTTGCCATGAGACCCTGGGCAAATCTCTATGAGTTGAGAGAATGCTGGGTTCATCTTTTAGGCTAAATGTGAGGAAGCAAAGGAACTTGAAAAAAAAAAATAGAGAAGGTCTCAAAATTACAAAACATCTTCATTCAGTTCCTAACCCTTGGTGTTCTTTCTGGTAGAAGGCAGGGTGACTATTTGCCCACTTTAAGGTTCATTCTCTTTACCAGCAGCAGCTAAAAAGGCTGCTCCCCCAACTGCAGATGATACTTCCCCCTTCCTTGCTTGTCTAGACTCAAACTTCCTGGAACTAGCTGGGAAAGAGGGCCAGCTGTCTTCTCTTTACAAAGGAAAAGACAGGAAGAACTGGAGCATATAAAGGGCTGGTTTCTTTCCCTATCACCAACTGAACCTCAGTACCCTCATCTATGAAATGGAGATGAGACCAGTTGCCTTAGCCCATCTCTCAGGGCCCCGGCAGAGTAGGGATGAGAGGTCCAGTGTTATTCTGACCCAGAAACTCCCTCCTGGCCCTCAGCTCTCTCATTCAGGGAGCCTTATGGGAGATTCAGAAAGGGGTGTGGAGGCTGAGGGATGCCTTAGGGCCTCTACCTCCTTACCTCTGCCACCTGGCCAGGGAGGGGCAGGAGAGTGTGGCGTGGCGCCCAGTGCACTGAGGTTCAAGGCCTCCTCATCCTGTCCAATGCTGGCCCGGATGGGACAAGGATGTCATAGCTTCCCTCTGTGAGGAGGGACTCCCACCTAGAAGATCTGACAATATCCTTCTTGCTCCTTACTCCAAGGAGGTACCAACGGCCTTAAAGGGAGAGAGACAGACACCTTGAGAAACTTAAGGAGACAGAAAAGAACAGAGGGAAGGAACTGGTAGAGGGGTAAAGAGAAGGTGAGAGAGAAATGACGGTACAAACAGGTAGGGAGAAGAAGGGAAAGTGAAGGGACGAAGAAAACACAAAGAATCAGAAAGAGGAGGACAGACACAGATGAAGAGATGAAGACGGACTGACAGCGCGGGAGCTTCGGGGAAGCGGGGAAGACAAAGGGGACCATCCGGTCTTTTTAACTGGCCTGGCCTCTTAGAGAAACCCCGTTCCCAAATGAAATGCCCAGAGGACGGAAGAAGGAGGCAGGAAGGAGCAAGCAGTGGCTACCCCCGGTCCCCTCCGCCCCAGCCCCCAGCCCCTCCCGGGGTCCCAGCCCCCGCCCGGGTCCCACTGTCCCTCCCCGCCCGCTTGCTCACCTGCCAGCGCCAGGATCTGGGCCTTGTGGAGCAACAGCGCGCCCCAGTCGCGGGGGGCGCGCGGGGGGCTCTCGGGCCCGGCGCCCAGTTCCTCCGGGCCCCGGTACACGGCGTACACCTTCTGGTTGTCAAAATCCAGCCGCGAGCGGGGGCTGAAGTCGCGCACGCACGACACGGGCAGCGCGTAGCAGACGTTGTCCTCCAGGAACCGCACAAAGGCGTACATGGTGGGCGCCGGGGGCGGGCCCCGGTCGGGCCGCTCAGCCCGAGGGGCGGGCGCGGAGGTGGGGATCCCGCGGGGGGCGCGAGCCTCGCTGCGGTGCTGGGGGGGCGGGGGCGGCTCCCCAGGACCCAGGCTCCCCCCACTGTTATTGTTCCTGAAAGCACCGTTCTGCCAATCGGCTGCTCTCGCCTGGGCGCGGAAAAGGGAGGGAGGGGGGGAAAGGGGGACGAGGGGCGGATGAGGGGGGTTTGGAAGCGCACTGCCACTTGCAAAGTCAGACCCGAGCAATCACAGCCGGAGCGCGATTCGAATGGGGAGGGAAAAGGGCTCAGAGATTCAGTTGCAATAAAAATAATAACAAGAGCATTGCAGGAAAAAAATGTATTGATTAAAAGGTGCGCTGCGGGCAGGATTATATTGCTTCAACAATCGCGCTGCCAAATTGCATTGCAACAAAACTGCATTGCCAAGGAGAGAAGTGTATGAGAGAATGAATGCGGGATAGGGGTGGGGGCAATCTTGTTTGAATCTCAAAGTGTAAACTTGGAAGCCAGCAGAAGTTTGGAGTGTTTTAAATTTAGCCACCCTACCCGCATCCCCCGCCTCGTACGCCCCCCACCCCCCGCCCCCCGCCTTTCCCAGCGCCTTAGTTTGGTCCTGCCTTTTCTTTGCTTTCTTTCTTTTTGTTTGTTTGTTTTGTTTTGCAAAACGGCCAGCTCCCGCTGTGGGAAGGGTCAGTCAGACAGAAAATTTCCCCTAGAGCTGCCAAACCAGTTCTGACCAGAACTGGGGCTTATCTGGGATTTCCAGTTGTGCCAGCTGGCTGGAGTGGTGGAAGGTTTGTCAAGGGCTGCTCTCATCTGAGGGAGCAGTGGCGCCCCTCTCTTCTGTAGTCTTTCTCCATTGAGGTACCCTCTCCACAGCATGCCCACCACTGACCAGGGACAAGTTGGAATCGCGGAGGGAATTGAGGAGCGCTCTGGGTAATACAGGCCCAAGGCTAGGGATTTCTGGAGCACTTTGAGGAGTACAGGAATATACTCCATGGAATAGCGGTCTTTGCTCTGTCTTTTGTCAAAGAGAGCCTGGAGGGGCTTGGGTCCCCTCCAAGACAAGCCATGAGGACCAGCCAAAGGGGGCTGATTGGGCTCTGTACTCATAGGAACCCTATCCCACGTCAGAGGAGGTCAATACCTTCACAAGGATGCCTCTGAGGGGGTGGGTTTCGTATCACATATGGCTAGATATATTTCTGTTGCCTAGCCAGACCTGGCACTTGACGGTGAGTTAATGAATTTTGGGTAAAGAAGAATAAAGAAAAACCCATATTCATCCATCCATCCATCCATCCATCCGTTCATTCATTCCTTTATTCAAGCCACCAATATTCACTGAGTTTACACCACCTACCAGATTCTGGGCCAGGTGCTGGTGGTAGAGATTAAAAGACAAACACCTGGATTCTTGGACCTTGCAAAGTCAGTGTACCAGAACTTGAATCTCAGTTTTGGGTTCCTGTGCCAAAATTAGGTAACTGTATGAATAACATACCTTTCCCATCCTCACAACTTTTACAATCTAGTCTAGGAGTATTAAAGAAGTATAAGCAAGTAATGACAGTATAATGAGAAAAGTATTGTCATAGAGGAATGCTTAATGGAGGTGTTGGACTCAATTAAATGTTATATTTTTAAAAATTCATTTTAATAAACTTTAGCTGTAAGAAAAAAACAAAATAAGTGCACCAAAATGTTAATAGTGATTTTCTTAGTTTCTTAGTAGTGGTAGATGATTTTGTTTTTCCTTGTATTCATTGTGTGTGTAACTATTATCCACAATGTTTTATTACTTTATAATCAGAAAACATTAAACATTATAAAATCAAAGCACTGTGCTCACATTTCACATCATCTGCACTAACAATGAAGCAGATATTTATTTCACTGTGATATAGAGAGTGCATTATATAAGTGAATCCCATCAACATACAGCTCTCATATCCAAATGTGTAGGTCAGTACAAATTTTTTTAAACCAACCCACTGGTTATGTGGTACCAGCCAAAAATGATCACCACTTGTCCTGAGGCAGCTGTTGGTCTTATTTTGCCCTACAAGCTTGTGGAAAAAAGAGGAGCCACTCCGAGTTGTTCCAGCACATTTACTCTCATGATTATGATTTCTTTGGACTGATCTTCAATGAGTTTTTAAGAATACATTCCTATGGTGGTCAAGGGGAAGTAATGTTCAGCAAGACTTCTGATAATTCACAAGATGGATCATGCAGAGTTGGCCGTATTTAACGTAAGTCCTTGAAGCTCTGGACTGTGTTCCCAAAATGATTTCAAGTAGCCCATGGCCAGCCTCCTCTCTGCATCTAAAAGGGGGTGACCGCAAAACATTCCCAATCTCATCTCTTACTACCTTCCTAGACACAGTACACTCCAGACACCTAAACTATTTGGCATTTCCCAAGACAGCATGTTTTAGCAAGTCCCAAGCTTTTGTGCTTTTTCTGCCTTCAACCTGGGAAGTTCTTCCTTCCTCAACTTACCCTGAAAATCAGCTCAAATCAGCCTTTGTGAAGTCTTCCCCAACCACCCACACTTCTCAAGCATAGCTCATCTCTTTCTACTACAATATTTTGTCCCAGTACTTTTTATCTTCCTTCACTATAATAAGAGCTCTTTGAGAGGAGGCAAAGGCTGAGTAACTTTAGCATCCCAGGTACCTAGCACAGGGCTGAGGAGTAAATGTTTATAAAACAAACGTATTAAAGAAAGACATAAAGACAGCATGAATAACAAACCTCTTGCACATTTTTTCTCGAAAGTCTGTTCCTTTTTTTTTTTTTTTGAGACAGAGTTTTGCTCTTGTTGCCTAGGCTGGAGTGCAATGGCCTGGTCTCGTCTCACTGCCACTTCCGCCTCCCGGGTTCAAGCGATTCTCTTCCCTCAGCCTCCCGAGTAGCTGGGACTACAGGTACCTGCCACTGCGCCTGGCTAATTTTTGTATTTTTAGTAGAGATGAAGTTTCACCATGTCAGTCAGACTGGTCTTGAACTCCTGACCTCAGGCAATCCACCTGCCTCAGCCTCCCAAAGTGCTGGGATTACAGACGTGAGCCACCGTGCCTGGACTTTATTATTATTATTATTATTATACTTTAAGTTCTGGTATACATGTGCAAAACGTGCAGGTTTGTTACATAGGTTTACATGTGCCATGGTGGTTTGCTACACCCATCAACCCGTCAACTACATTAGATAGTTCTCCTAATGCTATCCCTCCCCTCATCCCCTAACACACCACCCCTCTACAGGCCCTGGTGTGTTGTCCTCACTGTATCTATGTGTTCTCATTGTTCACCTCCCACTTATGAGTGAGAATAGGACACAAACAAATGGAAAAACATTCCATGCTCATGGATAGGAAGAATCAATATTGTGAAAATGGTCATATTGCCCAAAGTAATTTAAAGATTCAATGCTATCCCCATCAAGCTACCCCTGACTTTCTTCACAGAATTAGAAAAAGCTACTTTAAATTTCATGTGGAACCAAAAAAGAGCCCATATAGCCAACACAATCCTAAGCAAAAAGAACAAAACTGGAGGCATCATGCTATCTGACTTCAAACCATACTACAAGGCTATAGTAACCCAAACAGCATGGTACTGGTACCAAAACAGATATATAGACCAATGGAACAGAACAGAGGCCTCAGAAATAATGCCACACATCTACAACCAACTGATCTTTGACAAATCTGACAAAAACAAGCAATGGGGAAAGGAGTCCCTGTTTAATAAATGGTATTAGGAAAACTAGCTAGTCATATGCAAAAAACTGAAACCGGATCCCCTCCTTACACCTTATACAAAAATTAACTCAAGATGGATTGAAGACTTAAATGTAAGACGTAAAACCATGAAAACCCTAGAAGAAAACCTAGGTAATACCATTCAGGACATAGGCATGGGCAAAGACTTCATGACTAAAACACCAAAAGCAATGGCAACAAAAGCCAAAATTGACACGTGGGATCTAATTAAACTAAAGAGCTTCTGCACAACCTGTTCCCCTTTTTAAGAGTTGAAGCTGAATCCCAACTCTGCCTTTCCCATTCCCAGTGATCGTAGGGCAGAACATTGATTCTACCCCTCGTAAGACAGATGCATTCACGAAAATATTAAATATCACTGCACCCTCAGGTTCAAATTCCCTACCCATGTCAGTGTAAATCATTCTTATAAGGAGGCAGTTCCATTTTCCGAGAACCTAGAAAGAGGAAAAGAACGAACAATGGACTGGATGCTGACAAAGTAAACACAGATCGAAATGCATTTTTCGTAGATCCACAGAATAGATTCTGGAGTAGTCATGACTGGCATGGGATGCTCAAAGAGATACCCTCGGACGGCACCAGAAAGACGCCAGTTTCAGCTTCCTGTGTGACTCACACATTCAGTCTATGGATACAGCTTAATGGAAAAGCTACTATGTGCCATAGTGTGCCTCTTCCACCCTACTGAAAACTGAGCAAGAGTACTTTGACCTGGACACCATAGCCCTGGGCTTTACACATACCAGATATTCAAGATATTGATGATTCATTGACTGGTAAGCAAAGATAGTTTAAATACAGATTTCAGACTTAAAGAAGCAATTGCAAACTTCAAGTTTAACCAAATCATTGTTGAATCCTCTCTTCAGTATTTCTGCCAAATGGGCATCTAGAACACCTTTTATACAGTTATAATGCCAGGAAGCTTACTAGCTTCCCTTAACTTTTACACATTACCAAGTGTTAGAAAGGTCTTTCTTACTTGCATTGAGGTAGAATCTTTAACCTTGTGGCAGCCTTACTAGGTTCACCAAGACTCTCACACCTGCCCTTCAGACATGGTAAAACCTGGAATCCTGTCTCCCAGCTCTTTGTTTGTCTTCTGCCCAAACATCTTCGTTTCCTTCACCTGTCTCTCCTCATATGACCTGGTTTCAGTGATGATAATTGTAATACCTACTTTTTCTCTAAAGCTTATAAATCATGCATGGCAGGCGCTGTGTATACATGATCTCAGTTATTTCACACCAAATTCTTGAAGTGGGTGTTATTAAACCCATGATAGAGTTGAGAAAATGGAGAACTATGGCAAAGCAGTTTGGCTCTGGGGAGCCCTGGGAAGCTTGTGGTTATATTTGAATTTTAGACAGTTTGCTCTAGAAACCTTGTGGGGAAGGATTGGAGGGAACGCAAGTCTGGGGAGACAGAGGCCTGCGAAGAGGCTGACTGTCCTGTCTCACCCCTCCCCCGACTCTCTTTTTCTGTGAGCCAAATGTACTTTGCCTCTCATCCAAGTCATTTTAATGGAGCAGAAAATGTACACATCTGGGGCAGCTTTGCAACTGCGTCTCCATTGCACTCTCCTGTTGAGTTTTGCAGAGCCTTGGGTTAATGTCGGGCTCCTTCGGTTTAGCCAGCTGAAGCATGTTCAGTGGCAGCAGTGGGACTTATGTTTCATATTACTGCATGGAATTCTCAGTGTACTTTGCAAAACTATTTTTAAGGAGACCTGGGTTTTGTAAATTTTTAAAGCAATTGGAGCGTGTCTTTTCAACCTCTCTGCTAATGATTGACCACATTTTTTCATGATTTTGCCTTTTTTCCCCTGTGATGTTTGATTTGACTTTTCAAGTCTCTGCTTTTTACATTTTTAAAAGACTTTTGAAATAGTAGTTTCAGGTTCATAGTAAAATTAAGAGGCAAGTACAGAAATTGTCTTCATACCTCCTATCACCCACACAGGAATAGCCTCCTTAATACCAACATCCCCCACTAGAGTGGTACATTTGTTGCAACTGATGAGCCTACATTGACACATCATCATCACCCGAAGTCCATAGTTTACATTTGAGTTCACTCTTCGTGGTGTACATTCTATGGCTTAGGACAAAAGTATAATGACATGTATCCACCATTATGGTATCATACAGACTAACTTCACTGTCCTAAAAATCCTCTGCGTTTCACCTATTTAGCCCACCTCAGCAGCTCCAACCCTGGCAACCACTGATCTTTTTATTGTCTCCATAGTTTTACCTTTTCCAGAATGCCATATAGTTGGAATCATACACTATGTAGCCCTTTCAGATTAGCTTCTTTCACTTAATAATATGCATTTAAGATTTTTTCATGTTGTCTTATGGCCTTTTACATTTTTAAAATTTTCCTATTTTGCCCAGAAAAGTAATTTGCTGTGCTGCAAAAAAGTAAATTGCTGTGTTGAGGGCCACTGTCTTCTCAAGTTGATTCAAGGAAGGAATGTTGATACACGGCCAGGAGGATCTGGAGCTACTGGGAGGCCTGTAGTGGACATTATCCTGAGCTGTGTAGTGATACCCTAAAGCAGGGGCATCAACCCAACTAATTCATATGCACTCCTGCTAATGAAGTCTGATTGAGTCTGCTTGTGGGATTTGGGGTTGGGAAGAGAATAGCAATGGAGACAGGGAAGGAAGGAAAGAGAGGAGTTGCATATTGAGTATAGGCTTAAAGGCCAATGAACATCACCTGGATAACTTATCCAGAGACTTAGAGGGAATGTAAACTTGTCAAGTAGATGACAGATTGGAGTGCCAACGAAATATGGACTTAGGAATCAGACCAGTGGTTAAAACCTGACTTTGTTACATCTTTGCTATAACTTTTGGCAAGACAGTTCACCTCCATGAGCCTCAGCTTTCTCACCTGCGAAGGTGTTGTGAGACTTGGGCCAAGAATTTTCCACCCTTTCTGTGTATTAAGATCACCTTGGGAATTAAAAAATATTCCATTCCCAGGTCCTATCCCCTGAGACCCTGATTCAGTTGGTCTGGAATGGGGCCTAGGCATTGATTTTTTTTTTTTTTTTTTTTTTTAATTCCCAGAGTATTCTAACATGAGACAAAATTGAGCACTTCTGAGTTAGAAGATCTTAAGGTAACATGCCAAGCACACAGGAAATTCTCAACAAGTCATAAATATTGCTATTTTCAGGAAAAATATACAGGGCTTCTAAATGTCATCTAACCTTGAGCAAGTCACTTAGCATCTCTGAGTTATGATTTCTTCACCTGAAAAATGACATGCCAATGTAATAAGAAAACAGTATATTTAGTCTTAGGCTCTGGGTCAAATCCTGGTCTGATAAGTAAGGTCTATCCTTATGGTGTGGCCTTGGGTAAGTTTCTTAATCTCTTCAAGCATCACTTTCTTCATAAGAATATTAATTCAACTTCACAGAGATGTTATGAGGATTAAATGAGATAATCTATGTAAAATGCTTGGCCCAGTGCCTGACACTGTGGTGAGTTCTCAGTAAATTACAGTTGCTGTTACTGTTATAATCATAATAATTATTATAGTTATAATTATGAGAACACTTATCCCCATTCTGACACAGAGTGGGGGTGTCCAATAAATTTTTACTGAATCAAATTGAATACAACAAACTGAACCATGCTGATGATAATCCAACAAGCATCCTAGAATGATTCCCGCCAAATGCTATCCCTTTCAATAAAACTCTATGGTCACGGGTCACAGTCAGTAAAGAAGTTCTCTAATTTCAAATGTTCAAGAGCCTCTGAGGCCACAGGGCTTGCCCAAACCTGCAGCAAATACTTCTGAAATACTGCATTTGGAGCCATTCATTCTTTCAAATGGACTTTGTTGAGCATTTTTTTTGAGAAGAAATAAAAACTTCTATGCGTTATATAAAATGTAAAGTGTAGAAGTGTTTACAGCAATCTGAAGCCTTGCAGATGTGCATATTGGCTTGAAGTTCAGTTCAGGCAAACTATGGTCAAATTCAACCATTCCGATC